AGCTCGGGCGCTGCAACAAAGGAGCCGCCGCCCGCTCCGCGCCGCTCCGCGCTCCCCGGCCGCCGCGGCTCCGCGCCGGCTGTGCGCATGCGCCGCGCCGCGCGCATGCGCCGTCCACAGCCACCTCCCCCGTCCCCGGCCGCGTCCCCCATCCCCGGGCGCGCCGGCTGTTTCCGGGCCGCGGGGGGGCGGCGCCGGGGCGGGCACGCCGGGAGCCGCCTTTGAGGCCAGGCCTGGTCTCTCCATATCATAAATAATAAATAAAATAAACGAAAGGTGCATATTGCTAGCTCTGGGTTATGTGCGCCCTCCAGCTATGCGTAACTGGCAGCCTACGGGCTGCTCTTGTCCCTGCTGCTGTGAAGCTCAGGGAGCGGCAGGCCGACTGCAGCCTGTGTAGGGGCATGATAAGGTCTATCACACACTGTATACACATACATACATATACATATATATAGGAAGGGGTGTTAGCTGCACTTCATGTCCTTCCGTCTTTTTGCATTCCTCGGGCAAAGCGGGTGGTCAGACCTCTACAGGAACACTTACCATTATTGGTAGGGAAACTACCAGGGGAACGGCGTAAAGTAGCGTTAATTTGGTGGTGATCGTGTTACTCTGTCTGTGCAAGTTCGGCAAGGGTGTCTGATTTGAACTGGATGCACTGGAGAGGGAAAATGCAAAGCAAGCTGAGGGATTACGCTGTTTGCAGAAGTCTTGGGAGGCGTTTTGAGCTGCCATTGCTCCTTGTTTACCAGATAAAAACCTGTAACTCGGGGTTGCTGCATGGATATTATCACTGAGACAGGGATAGGCACGAGATGTAGAAAAAGACAAAGTGAATTTTGCAATTTCATTGATGTTTCGCTCTCATGGCACTATCCTCTAGTTGAAATATCAGTATTGTTTTGGTGAGCTGTGGAATTTTAGAAGTTACATATAAAGCAGCTAGTATAAACTGATTTAACTGAACATGAATACAAACTTTTTAATTAAAAAAAAATCAAACCTTCTCCCTCAGCCTCAAAGCAACTTGAAACCTTCACACACGCTCAGAGAGGGCAAAGAAGTGACAGTGAAGCTCTGAAAAACAAACAAGCCAGCCCCAGCACCCGGGCAGAAACGGAACAAAACAGTAACATCTCCACGGCTACCAAAATAATAACAGCAGAAAACTAAAAACAAACAAATAGAATGGATTTTAATAGAGACAAAATGCTGGGGCTTGGCAGTCTCGTTGTGCTGAGGCTCGAATGAGATGGTTGAGCTCCGTGGAGAAATTAAGTGGGGCAGGAAGAACTCCCCGGGGTCACCATGGTGACTGCTCACTGCCTCAGGAATTGGAAGCTTGGACCCTAGCCCAGGGTGGAACTGGGAAAGACACTAATCTCTCAACTTTATGTTTTTCCTTTCCTTTCCTTTCCTTTCCTTTCCTTTCCTTTCCTTTCCTTTCCTTTCCTTTCCTTTCCTTTCCTTTCCTTTCCTTTCCTTTCCTCTCCTTTCCTCTCCTTTCCTCTCCTTTCCTTTCCTTTCCTCTCCTTTCTTTTTTTCCTTTCTTTTCCTTTCTTTTTTCTTTTCTTTCCCTTTTCCCTTTCTCCACCCCAGCCACTCCTGGCAAGAGGGGCGGCACGAGGCTTCCTTGCAATCCCTATTGCCGAGATTCCCCGCAAAGTCATGAAACCGCCTTGAGGAACAGGGCGGAACATCGCTCCCCAAGTAACACTTCTGGCTGCCGCCTTCTGCCCTACGCATTTCCATGCAGGCCGGCGGCTGGAGGAGGCACGGGCAGAGCTAAGGCAGCGCCTAAGGCTTCGCGAGCCGGGCTGCTCCGCGGCGCCTCCGCGGGACCCTTTCCCCCCAGCCTTGCGCATGCAGGGCGGCCCCTTCCGCCGGCGGCACCGGGGCGGCGGGGGCGGCCCC